GGTATCCGGCAAACACTCGCCGGCTAGCTCACATTTGTGTTTTCAGAGAGTAAAGCGACGACGTACGGAGGAGCGCAGACTTGATCAACAGGATTATACGAGAAGGTTTATTTCTTTCATGTACACTAACCATGACCATATTTTGGTTATGATTAAAACAAGCTTTAAGGGGTAAGATTGTTAAATTCGAAGCACTGATTCTAAATGAAAATCAGCAAAAACTGTCAACTTTATTCCATAATTGGAAAAGTTCATGTTGATTTTTTTAGTGTTTCATTTAAAACGATTGAGTCCAGATTCGAAGGATAAGATTGTTCAGTTCAAAGCCCTAAATTTGCTTTTAAAGACAAACGGGGACAAGATCAAACAATGCCAAACAAAGAGAAAAGTCTTAGTTGTATTAAAGCAAAAGCAATTACATCGAATGGCCCTCTTTGGGTACAAATTCAAGTTCATAAAAGTAAGGAATAGAATAAATAACAAGATCATGAAATTTGGACCAACTATGATCAATGAATTTCTATTCTTTCTTTATTCTATCCTCTATTTCTTCTAGGATTGGTTGCTAAAGTTGATGTGCTCTCACTTCATAAAAGAGCTCTTCAACCTTTATTTCGAACGCTGTTTCTCTCAATCCTTGTTCCAACTCGTCCATATCCAAGTCATCCCAGTACGCAGAGTCTTTATTCTTGAAGTTATCGAATTCTTCAATGAGATTCTCTACTTCGTACTGGGCATGAACTCAAAGGGATGAGAGTTGGTCCAAAGATTGAGTGGTGGCCATAGAAGTCCAATGCCAGTGAAGAAGCAATGGGAGTTGGTCCAAAATCATGTGAAGCTCTGCTTGGGCGAGGGGGTTGAGGACGTGACCCCGAGTCAAAATATCACAAGCCCATCGAAGGTTCTTGAGAGGAACATTGTCCTCAAGAACATTGAAAGGTAAGTGAGAGAAGGCCGCAAGCAGAAGTTGGGCTTGCTTCCGCTCAGCTGGAGTAGGGAAAGGTGGAGGCTTGTAAAGACCTTATCCGCAGAAAGGGCAAGCTTCAGTCTCTCTGTCTAGCAAGGATTTGGCGGAGGAGGAGGTATGGAAGCTTCCATTTCGGGAGAAGGAGCAAGGGTATAAGGAACAAGGGCATTAATATAATCGAGTCAGTCAGAAGAGCAAAGCTTCGCCTTCTGGGCTAAGAACGATGGGTTGTACCCTTGTGCCTCTTCTGGGCGTCGGGTAGCGTGCACTATCTTTGTAGGCATGGAGGATGTGTACCATGCTACAAGCAGATTGTCCTCTAAACTGCGTCGGCGGTCGATGGGCACGTAAGGATAAACCACCGAGCTTCACGTATAGGAAGGAAACTCTAAAGGGTTAGTGAACTCGACAAAGTAATGGTTAATTCGCTCCCTTAAATCACAGGCCTCAGGTTCCGACCAGCTTGCCCAGTCAGAAGCCCTAGAGAAAGAAGAAGCCACAGCCTTATTCCATGCAGAGTGTTGTGAAGAAGAACTTCCCATGTCCATATTTGCAACTTTCTGAATCAAAGGATTGAGGGCAGTTTGTTCGTAGTTCAAGGGTGAATCAGAAGAAGAACTTCCCATGTCCATATTTGTAACTTTATGAATCAAAGGATTAAGGGCAATGTGTTCGTAGTCCAAGAGTTGATAATTTGCAAAGGCCTCCATGACTTGAATATAGAAAGGTGGGTAAAGGTGGCTAATTAATGCATGGAGGTTCTTTCGAGGAGGAACAGCATCATCAGATGACTCTTCGTGTGCTCGATCAATAGAGGAGAAAATTGATTTGGCCATAAAAATGTATCAGTCTGTTCGAATACTGAGGTGGTAGGGTGTTCAAAAGATTGAAAGAGAGTTTAATGCAAATGATAAATGACGGTTGCATTTCTGGAAGAATGCAAAACCCATGCACGTTCTAAGACGTGAATAAAAAACCTTGATCCACTAATATCACCAAGTATTAGGTATATTAGTGCGGGGGGTAATGTTGGCTACATATTTCGTATAAGCCAATTACAATTCGACGCGTGACAGAATAAATGTAATACAGAAGACTATTCAAGTCTTCGATCATGATCGTACACGTGGCAGTTAGTATTGGTTATTACGAGATCTGAGTAGTATTGGATCAGCAAGGAGATGCAAAGTGATGTGGCTTCAACGGTTACTCATATTCAAATTCAAAATTATGAGGGAAGCCTAACTGCAAGTGATGGCATAGTGGAACTAATTATAAGGCAATATGGTCAGCGATCATGGAGGAGCAGTTCGACGGTTGGAAATGCAGTTCGATGGTCATTCTTGAGAAGTATAAATAGCAGAGAAGGCCCTAGAAAAAAGCCCCCAGACTCAGATCCAAAAAACCAGTCTTATTCTACTTTATTTCCTTTCCAGTTTTACAATCATGTTCTTTACATTTCTGTACTTTAAAATTCATGCACTGCACTTCGTTCATAGGAGTAGTTTCAAGTAGATTGTTGCTGTAAATCTCTACGAGGCTGAGTTTGGATCATTATAAGTTTTTCATTTTTATGAAATACTTCAATTGTTCTTCATTTAATTATTTTTTGCTTGATTCTCCTAAATCAAGCCACCAGTAAAAGTCCTCTTCATTGAGGCTGAAAGAACTAAAACACAATCGTCTGATAATTGGTTGGCAATTAATTTTCTGTAAGGACTGATTGATCCTTGTTGGCACGCTCATAATTACAAAAGTAACCTTCGAAAGCCAAAAAAAAACCAACAAATATATATAAATTTTTTGTAATTTTTTTTTTTTTTGTGTGTATTATTGAATTTTTAATTCTTTTACAAACTCCATATTTGAAAAATATGTATCTAAATCTAAATTAAGTAAAAAATTAAAAAAAATCATTAAAAAAATAAAAATAAAAATAAAAAACTCATCAACTACCACGCCCACTCATTACCACCACCGTTCATCATACTCGACTACTACCTCCGACCACTAACAACGACCACCATTCAACAACTATCTGTCATACATTCTCTCTTATTTTCAAAAAATGTTTACTCAAGTTAAGCAGCAACACATTCATACTTTGTTGAAAATTCAAACAAATTAACCCATGGGATGGCCTATGGAGGGCCTATTTTTTGGTCCCGTTTTGATAATCTGAACCGTTTAATTTGTAAAACTCATTAAGTACTATATCCTTGTAAAAAATTACGTTGGTCGAATATCGATATCTATTTTAAAAAAATAAACAATTAACAGAAATCTGATTCGATCAAATAGTTATGAATATCCAATCAACATGATTTTTTACGAAAATATAATATTCGATGAATTTTACATATTAAACAGTTTAAATTATCCAAAAAAAAACCATCCGGATCGGACGGTTCAATCTTTATCTCCAATTTGAGACAAGCTAGACACGTATCCAATTTACAGCAGAAGTACAAAGAAACTTACTCAAGTTGGTTAGATTGAGTGTAGCAAATTTAGGAGGTGTTTGGTGGGGCTTTTTTGAGTCAATTTATAGTTTCTGGCTTTTAAAAAGGTTTTTTTGACTGTTTGGTTAAACTTATCTCAAACAGCTTCTGATTCTAACAACTTATTTTAAGTCAAAAAAGTTGATTCTGAGAAGCTGCTCACCCCTTACTTTTGATTATCAATTTCTGCTGTGGACATGTTAATTCACGGTTATACTCTTTAATTTTTTTATTTTTTATTTTTTTAAAAATAGGAAAAGACCCAAATGGACTATAAATATTATTTTTTTTTTTTTATAAGAAATGTAGACAAATAGTGAATAATAAAAAATAAAAATTAATTGAAAAAACTACTTCACAGCTTATTTAACAAACACTACTCAACAACTTAAATCTATAATCCAACAGTTATACCAAACAGATTAACAACTTCTGATTAAAGTCATAATTTATAATCTGTTTTAACAGTTATACCAAACAGCACCTTAATAAGACTACTCTAGACAAATGTACTACAATTTATTTTTTTTTGGGAGGGGGGGTCACAATAAGAAAATAATTAATAGGGTGAATTACACCTATGATCCCCATAGTTTTGGGTTTGTGTTACTTTGGCCTCTAACTTTTCAATTGTGACATATTTGACCCTAAATTTTGAATCTTGTTCAAAATAAGAACAATTGAAGATGCTATTGGATTTTTCAAGGGCAAATTCGTCAATTTGATAAAATATAAATTAATTTGACAAAAATAAATGTCAAAAAATTATTTTTGAATTTATTGGAGGAGAACCATCTTTGTGTGGATCAGTTTAATGTCATTCTTGACAGAGTTGATGATTGTTCTAATTTTCTTTAGACCGTTGATAATGCCACGAGGAAGGTTGAGAGCAGTTCGTGCTAAAATGGAGTCTCATCGGAATAAAATTTCTTGGTATAGAAGCTTTTGATTTTGAAAGGTCATGATTTTATTGGAGAGAATTGCTTTGAAATCTTATGCAACTGTTTTAGCAGAGTCAGTTTTCCATGGTGTGGCAGTGTAACTTCTTTGTAATAACTAATAATTTTTAAGAATGAATGACCACCATGGACCTGTTTTTGTTTCTTAATCTTTCTTTTTGAAATGAAATTGTCTATTAAAATAAAATGCTAAGTGTTTAATGTAAATATATGAGCCAAAAGTGTATTCAATTTTGAAATATATATGATATATAATGTATAAAAATTTGTGAAATGTGTATTAAAATTCTAACTGTTTTAAGAAGATATATATATATATATATATATATTAGATTGATAAATTTTTAACCATCCATTGTTTATAAACAGTTTCTTCATACAGTAAATTTTATTTTATCATACAACCACACCACCGACCATCATTCCCAACCATCAAACATTTTCACTATACAGTAAAACTTCACCACCGCCGCCAATTTATCGTTGATAGATATTTTCTCTATAGAGTGAAAACAAGTAGCAATACGTGGAAATTGAAGACTTGAAAAGAGCCCACAAACAATCACCATATATAAATACTAAAGTCAAGCTCATGTGCCTATAAAAGCTTTTCTATAAATAACCAAAGATAGTTCTGTTAAGATCTTACAGAAACTAAACAGAAATGCCATCAAAACAATAGAGACTAGGCAGGTAGTTTTTGTATGTCTACTTCAGAAGATGAAAGAACACAACTGGAGAAAAAAAAACCTCATAGAACACAATTACGACAAAACAATAATACAGCCTGGGAACGGTAATCTAGGATTAGATTTTGTTGAAGGCAACAATGTCACAGCTCTGTACGTATTCATTGATAGGCTCGACCGTGAGTGTTTCTTCTATGAGTGTATCCACTGAAACAAGGTCATCCACTATAGTCATCATGATCTGCAGCTTTTTTATTCCATAACCAACAGCAACTAGTTTTGCTGCACAAGTGAAATGCCATGATTTAATATAAATTTCATCCAAGAAGCAAGAAATTATGGGTGACCATGGTGTGCATCAAGCATGTCATTTTTTATCAAAATTTCCAAACCCAAGTTGATTTTAACTTATTTCCCATACACAAGTTTTTGAAAAAATGACTCCGGTTTTGAGTGTGTGTGTGTGTGTGTGATATAATACAAGGCAAAATAAGTCATGTATTGTAAAAAACAAGTCATACATGCTCCCCACAAGAGACCAGGTATCTCGATGCTCCGAACAGCCTCTTCCAGCTTCTTCATGTCTGTCTCATCATCCCAAGGTTTCACATCCAAAAGAACAGATGACTTTCCACCTAAAAAGATGATTGAATGCAAGAAGAATTAGGAAATCAACATGAGGAAAAAAAAGATTCAGATAAATTCACTGAGGATTATTATTTCAGACAAGAATCAGAAAAAGAGGTAAGAAAATTTCACAACAGGAAAATGCCACTTATGAAGAACTCAAATACTGAAAAATTCCACACAAGTAAAAACCAAGGTTTTTGGTCACCCGATCATGTAGAGTTCTAACATTGTCACTACCAAAGTATCGAATTAGATGTCAACACAAACAACTGCTAATCAATTGTACATTTGTACTTATTTTAAGCCGACGTGATCATATATATTAATAAAATGTCTAAAGAATAACATTTTCTTTCTTCTCTGAGGATTTATAGGCAGGAGCTGGAAAAGGGGAAGAGAGTTGTCTGACAATAAAACGCCATTTATGGCAATAATTGGCAAAAAAATTACTCAAGATTTTATATCTACTTGAACTTTCATTGTTCCCATCGGCAAGAATATTTAATCAGATGCCCGATGCATAATCAACATGCAACATATTGATGTTTTTTTTTCTTTTTTTCTTTTTTTCTGAAGCATGCAAGTCAGAAAACAAAATGGCTAAAGAAGCTCACTCTCTTTCTTCTTGGCAGATTTTTTAGCTGCTGCCTCCCTCTCTTCTGCTGCCTTCTTTTCCTCCTCAGTCTCATCACCAAAGAGATCCAGGTCATCATCATCATCTCCAGCTGGTGCTTCCTGACATAACCAGAAGTAGAAACCATTTCAGTAGTATGAGACCGGATATGAACATTTTCAGCACAATTTCACAATATAAACCCATCAACAAAACATTTAAACACTGAAACAGGCAAGGTTAATTCCACTAAGACCAAAACCAGTGGGTTTAAGACAAGTAGGGCTGGCATATTTGCTACTTCCGTTAGATATGCCTCCAAACCAGCGCTCATATGGCTTTAACAAACCCTTCTGAAAGATACACAGGCATGGTAAAATAATCATAATGGTAGTTGGTTGTTATTAGATATAACTGGTTTTGGCTTTCAAGCAAGGGGATGGTACAAATCAAGTTGTGAAAGTATAACAGCATGTTTCAGTTATGTGTTACCACAAAATGCTAATACCCTAGCGAATTACGTATTGGTACGCACATTCCCAAACATGGTACACTTCCATTTTAAAACGGTAAGTTTAGTGATCCAAATCAATCCCAATAGTTTTTTCCAATATATTTCCTTAAATGTTACATTAGGAGAAAAAATCAAATATAATAAACTAAAATATAAGGTGGGTTAAGTTTTGACAAGACAATATCAACAAAAAAAATAAAATACATTCTATTGGATGTCTAATAGTTAAAAGAAAATTACTCTAGAAGTACTTAAATTCTTAAATGTAATATATACAAGTCTACCTCTATCGTACCACGTTTTAGAGCATGTGGCGTACCACGTTCCCGTTTCCGTTTCACCTATCAGAAAGATCCACGTTCCAAGTAACATAGAGTTTTTTGTTTTCATAGTGCAGAAAACAGAGAGCTTGGCAAACTATTGCTGAAAACTGTTTTCAGAGTTTTTATTTTTTTAAAACACTCTATTTTTTAGGAAACATCAAAAAAAAATTTCTAACAAAAAACATAATATTGTTTTGTCTTCAAACTTTACAGTGGGTGTGTTTTCAAACAACACACACAAAAAAATTAAATAAATAAATAAACAGGCCCTTATTTTCTGACATTTACTTTGCAAAATAAAAAATAAAAAATAATAAGAAAGAATGAAGGGCTGTGCACAGCTAGGACAATGGACTTTGTAAATACCCAAGCACCATAAGCTTGTATCCCATTTTGATGAGAAAGGCAAGTTTTAGGAATCCATAACCTAGAATGCTTGCCACATGGAAATTAAACTGCATAGATGCTACAATGGTAAAAACTGAAAAGCACAAGAACCGTTGTAAGAAAGAAAGGGGAGAACAACAGAGTAAAATAAAATTTTGAAAATTATGAGAAAATGTGGGAAGATAATGTTGTTTTCTAACAGTATTTTTTAGGAAACACCAAAAAATTGTTTTCTAACAAAAAAAATAATATTGTTCTGTCTTCAAACTTTACAGTGGGTGTGTTTTCAAACAACACACACACAAAATAAATAAATAAATAAACAGGCCCTAATTTTCTGACATTTACTTTGAAAAAGAAAAACATAAAAAAAGAATTAAAAAAAAGAATTAATTAATAAGAAAGAGTGAAGGGCTGTGCACAGCTAGGACAATGGACTTTGTAAATACCTAAGCACCATAAGCTTGTATCCCATTTTGATGACTAAGAGAGGCAAGTCTTAAGAATCCATAACCTAGAATGCTTGCCTCGTGGAAATTAAACTGCATAGATGCTACAATGGTAAAAACTGAAAAGCACAATAGCAGGTGTAAGAAAGAAAGGGGAGAACAACAAAGTAAGATAAAATCTTGAAAATTATGAGAGAATGTGGGAAGATAATCAACAAATATCAAACCTCTGATGCAATTCTTGTTCTTTCCTTTACTTTGATTTTCACTATTAATTGACTAGAATTTTCCCTTTGTTTTTTTAAATAGATTTATATATTTATTTTCTTTCCACCCTACAATCTGATTCTACCGCTGACCAGGGTGACAAGATGCACTTTGGAATAGCGCAAAACCTTCAGGGTTGTAAACAATAACAAGTGCCACTAACCAATGGGCAAAACATGTAGGCATGGATAGTTACACACGCAAACTCCCAAAGGAAAAATATTAATAAAGGCTGCCACAAGGGGTTTATGTAGAAACTAGCTGTGGTTAACTACGATTAGGGCCCAAAATTTCTAGGTTGAGCTGGAGGGAAGGAGAACCTTAATAAGGGCATCAAAGCCTTAAAAGATGCAAGCGGAGAAACTTCCTCACGATATATGTGTATCAAGAAAAGATGTGAAGCGAGAAACTTCCTTAAGATGTGTGTGTGTATATATTACACCTTAATCCACCACTCTTTATCTATTACTCTAGTAAATTATACAACTTAGTCAAGCACTCCACCTAAATGTTAAATTATACACCAATTCTCTAAAGCTCAACAAAGTTAAAGGGTCAAACTGAACTGAATTCAACAGAAGACCAACGCAGTGAGTAGTTCTGGCCATTGCACAAAATAATATTGGAATAAGATGGGCCATAGAATTCTCATCGAGCATAATATTGGAATGATGATGGATTCACAATACCACTAGGTCTGCATCTTATTTTAAGTTAAGATAACGACATTATGGCAAGATTATAATTGCATATAGTCACATAAGTATTTAAAAAGTCTAAATATGGATGTGTGCCCTCTGTATTGAAAACAGGATCACGCAAATAAACAACTAAAAAGGATTTTGATACAAACCTTCTTGGCTGGAGCTGCTTCTATTGGAGGACCTTGGCCGGCTATTCTCACGCCAGCAGCTTTTCCCGGGAAGCTACAAAATTTAAAAATAATGTGAGATGAAGCAATGTAAGGTCTGAAAGGGACATCCCAAATCCCAGTAAGAAAAGAAATGAAAATGCAATGCACAAGGGACATGTTGATACAGTTTGAACAAGCACTCGATAAAAACAAAAATGCACACACCATTTCATTTCACGTACCTAAAAGACTAACAATAAAGATGCAGTTAAAAGTGCCCTTTCAATGAAGTGAGCTGTACACCCCACAATTTATGAAAACAAAAATGCACACACCATTTCATTTCACGTACCTAACAAACTAACACTAAAGATGCAGTTAAAATAACTTAGGGCATCTCCAATCCTTTATCAATTCACAATTTATGAAAAAAAATGGTTTAAAAACGTAGAAGTTAGTGGGTGTGGATGGTGCCACCAGGTTCCACCAATCACAAATGACTATACCCATGTTGTCTCTCAAATATGGTAGACCCTGGTGTCTTAACAAATCACAATTAAGGAAGCATCAAGTGCCAATATCCTCTCAGGTACGCAACAATGAGTTCCAATACTTGCATCAAACTTCTACAAATCAAGGATGAAGCAAACCCTTTATCATATAAATTTTTCTTAATTGGTTAAATATGTTTTTGGGGATAAATTGAGATTTTTTTTATAAATATTTTATAAAAAAAATCATGAGTAAAAGATTATAGTGCTCCCTACCAAATCAAGGTTTTAACTAAATTTTCACTCAAATCAATGAAAAAAAAAATTACAATTACAATTACAAGGATTAGTGATAGCCTTACAAAGGCTAAACTGGGAAGAAAACAGCAAACCACATGGGTCTTCATATATATATATATATATATATGTAACTATGAGCTCAAGCTCAAACCTTGGGGCTAGATGCGAAGAGACGCAATGGTACCACTGGCTTGCATTGGGAAATTGATCGGCACTAGGTTTCTCCAAAACTGCTGCGTATACCTTGACATCATCCTTGGTAAGTTTATCCCTGCAATCATCATCATTTCATCAAATCAAATAAACAAATCTCAACAACACTGTGCTGTTCAAGATTGAAATAGAGAGAGAGAGAGAGAGAGAGAGAGAGAGAGTAGTGCTTACCCAGAAATATATTTTTTCCCGGAGAGAAACTGATTGAGGGACTTGAGCCCCGATTCGGTGTGCAGATCCGAAAATGTAACAGCCATTTTTTTGGTTAATTATGTATATGAAGATGACGATGATCGATACCAATGAGGAAGATGAAGAGTATTGATCGCAATCAGAGGCGGAGAGAGACGGTGAAACTTTACTACTAGTTTTGAGTGAAGAGGCTCTATTTATAGGTAACAGCGTTAGCAAACCCTAGATCTCGAGTGGTATATGGAATATCCTCATTTTTGGGTAAAATCACAAAACACGAATGAAGAATATTAATTACATTATGGCGCTCAATTATTAGTGTCTTTCATTTTACTGCCTTTTATCAAGCCCCGGATTGACAATCATTTTCAGGCTAAAAAATCACATACAGATAAATTTGGTTACAAAATCACAAATTGCCAAAAATGATACACGTGACTTGTGAGGCACGTGAGGATGATAGGCAATTACCAAACTACCCTATATATACCAATACATATTTCTGTGTGGATATTAGGGTTTTATTTTCTTTATATACGAAGTAGACGGTGATGAAGAAGAACGAAAGAGGGGAAGAAGACTGCACAAGATTGGACAACCGATCTAGGCCAACACCGATTCCAGAACGCCTTCACCATTCTCTACTCATAATATTGTTTCGTATTTGCATCTCTGGCACGCATAACTCGATTTATTTTAGGGTTTTCCTCTCCTCGTACCAGATCTTACTTGTTTGTTGTATGTATGTTTAAAATCCATCGTTGTTCTGTTCGATTAATACTAAAATGTTTTTGTTAGTGTGAATGGAGGTTTCAACCCAAATGTCTCATTGTTGGTGTTGACAGAATGTTTGATTTGTTTTACAATTTCTTTATTCCAAATCAGTAACCTACCAAAAGCAAAGTCCATTAAGCAATTTACAAAAAATGTATAAAAAAAATGGAAACAAAAAATAAATAAATAAATAAATTTGTGTAATTCCATTGCAAAATTTGTATATAATTGGGGGTGTTGTTGGATTTGGCCACTTGAGGGCAATTTTGTCATTTTACTTACCGGAACATCATTTCCAATGCCAAAAAGCCAAACAAACAAAAAAGTCTCAGGTTAAAAAAGTCATTGCCAAACGAAACCTAATCTCTCAATTATTTATACAATTTTTACAATCAATGGGTTAAGAGCATTTATAATAGAGTGGTAAAAAATGATATGTTAGAGTATCTCCGACGTTTAACATTTTTTTTTTTCATTCAATTTGAGTAAAAGTTTCATTTAATATTGTGTGTTCCAATAGAGTAATGTAAAATTTCATCAAACCACCAGTCAATCAAGAAGACGATCAAGAGATGTCAGGGCGGTCGACTGGCCAGTGTAAAATTGGTAAGTGTCTTAAAATTATTAATTTTAACCTCTAGTTTATACAAAAGAATCAAATTGAACCCATATAAAATTGATAAGTATAAAAAAATTGCTAATTTTAACCTACAATTTATACGAAAATGACCAAATTAAACTAAACTTAAAGTGGAAGACCAAAATGTACAAATTGAATTGAAATTATAGGTTTGGTAACGTTTACATTTTTTGTTTATGTTTATACAAATTTTATAAATTGGTTTTTATTTATTTTTAGAAAAACATAAATTACAAACGTGTTCGGTTTGAACAAAATGTTTGAAAAAATTTAAAAATATAAACTGAAAAATTTTAAAAATATAAAGTAAAAAATATGTTTGTTCAAACCTAAAATATTTACATTTATTTTTATTATTTATGACAATGAGATCATACACATTATAATTGGGGGGGAAATAATTGGAAAAAAAATTAATTGAAAAAAAAAATTGTTAGTCAATTTTTAAAATTTCTGTTTAAAAACCAACCTAAACTCATTTTTTGAGTTTACGTTTTTTCCTTAAATTTATAAACTGAGACAACCATTTATAAACCAAAAAAAAAATTATCAAATAAGTTTTTATGACAACTTTTTAAAATTTTTGTAAATATAAATTGAAAACTAAAAACGAAATGGTTACCAAACAAGCCCTACGGAAATGACCAAATTAAACTAAACTTAAAGTGCAAAACCAAAGTGTACAAATTGAATTGAAACTATATGGACTAAAATTAAAATTTGGGTCAAACTGCAGTAGTAAAAAATATAATTAACACTAAAGCCTTGTTTGGGAATAAGTTATTTTATTAACTTTTTGACTTTTTATGAAAATACGTGTAGAAAAATAAAGAAAGTGATGTGTCAATTTATAATAAACATTTTAACTTTTTCACTAAAATATGTAATTGTTAAAGGAGTCATAAATGAGAGATAAAGTGATACTAACTAATAAATGAACGAGTCTTGATGTAATTAATCAAATTATAATTAGATTTCTAATTATAGCATATTTCTTAAAATATATATTTTAGAATTGATGACTTGTACGACCATTAATAAGGGATTGTTTGGGGTGTCTTAAATAAGTGTATTTTTTTACTTATTTGACTAAAAAGTAGAGAAAAAAATATGGTTGTTTATGATAATTTTTTGTCTGTTTACGAAAAAATATGTATTAAAATATTGTATAAAATAGAAAAATACATTTTTACCCCTACGTTTTGGACTCATCAGTGACAGTGCTGCAGAAAGACCGTACAGAATGGTTGAAATGGTGAGAAAAATCTGAACTATATACATATATAGCACGAGGCATCATCGGTGCTGTTGGGCTCGTATGGGCCCACCACGGGTCCCGTTTCGATAATCTAAACCGTTTAATGTGTAGCACTCGTTGAGTACTGTATGCCTGTAAAAAATCACTTTGATCGGATATCGATAGCTATGTAATTAAAACAGTTTTGTATGAGAAAAATGGACGGTGAAAAATAAACGGCTGGAACAAATCTGATTTGATCACATAGATATTCATATCCGATCAATGTGATTTTTTTCAAGCATATAATACTTGACAAGTTCTACATATTGAATGGTTTGGATTATCGAAACGGGATCTGTGGTGGGCCCGCACAGGCCCAACAGTTCTCTCAAACTTAATGAATATATATATATATATATATTTTTTATATCATCACTGCGTAAATTTCCCATCACTTTAGTACCATCACTGTGTAACTTTTTGGATTATACTAATATTGTGAAACTTAATTTTTTTATATTTTTTATTTATGAATAGTGATAACTTTTTTACTTTTAAATTTTTAATTTTTTTTTAACATGTCAAACCAGTCCCAAATTTTAATTTGTTTTGACAAAGGAGTTAGAAGTTAATTTTTTTAGTTTTTTTTGAAGAAATAAATAAATAATACGATAAATAGTATGACTAAAAAAAAAAATTAACCATCTTTTTAAAAAAAATCGTTATTTTAAATGACTCTAATATCTTCTTCTATTTTCTAATATCTTCTTCTATTTTTTAATATATTTGAACACGGCATAGCAATTATGACCAGTCACAAAATACTTAACAGACGGAGCCTTCCGGAATAAAATTTGTCGTCAAATGTAGCTTAAATATCTCTGTCATGTCATAAATTAACAGTTAAATCTAAGGAAAATGTTTAGGCCCACATACGAGGACCTTTTCATGGTTTTAGGATGGTGTTTGATAGTGATATAAATAGTTTGATTATTTTAGAATTATGAGATTTGTATTTTATGGGGTTCTCCATTCTTATTGTAAATCTAAATACTAAAGTCTCGTTTGGCAAATGGTGATTTTAACTAAAAAATTAAAAAGTCACAAAAAAATAAAAAATTAATAACTTGTACCAAAAAGTTAAAAATTTTATTTTTTATTTATTTTTTGTACATCTTTTCGTAAAAAATCAAAAAGTCATGCAAAACATATTAGTTTTGTTTATCTCATATTTTAACAAAAAAATTACTAAAATAACATATTCTCAAACAAGGCCTAAGAGCATCTCCAATAGTTATTGCTATAATGCCATTGCTATTATTATAATTTAGCAATGAATAATGTTATTTTGTCAAATTATAACAATGATGTTCCAATGGTCATTTGCTATTTTGACAAATCTCAACCAACTTTCCCTCAAAGTTTATAGGTATTGCTTGGATATAGGTTTTTTGCGCTTGTGTGTGTGTGTGTGTTTTTTTTTTGTCTTTTGTGACCATTTTTTAACTGTTTGTAATATATATATATATATATATATTTATATTATTCCCAACTAGACAAATATAAAAAATGAAAAAAAAAATTGAAAAATTGGGAAAAAAAATAATCTAATTCACTATTATGTTATCTTTTTAATGACAGTTAATTTCATTTAATGTCTTTTTATTATAATAAAATTATCTTCATTTAATATCAGTTAATGTATTTTATCTTTTTATCGCATGCATTTCAAAAAATATATTTATTTTTTCATTATACTTTATTGAAAATTTAAATTATACTAAAAAACAGTCAACATTATATATTGTAAAAATAATATTACATTTTTTTGTAGAGAATATTCAAAAATAAAAATAAAAATGAAATTTCAATACAATTTTTTTTTTTTAAATGACATTGCAAATAAAGACTAAAAATTACATTAAAAAACAAATGACATTGCAAAATTTAAAAATACATTATTCCGTAATTATTAATCAGGAGGCAGGGGAAATAGTAATTTTGGCAGCTGACATTTGAGGACCACTTGGTGAAAATTTCATTTTTTCGCATTGTGTAATGTGCTTTCATTTGAGGGTCAAAATGAGAAATGTCCGTAGTCATTATCATATGTTCTTATTTTTTCATCTCATGTTTTTGTCTTCTAATCTCAAAGTTATGTTTTTTCATCACAAGTTCTTTCAACTCTTGGAGTGCTTAAATCATTTTTTATTCTCTTTCATCCATTTTCTTTTCATTCTCAGCAAGGTGTTGGTTAAATGTCTCAAATTGTATGCTCATTTTTTGGACTTCAGCTTCAACGATTTGATTTATCCGAAATAATTCTTTTGCAGCTTCTATCCATAGGCCTTTTACCCCTTACAGAGACACTAGCCTCACCAACAGTTGGATTGTTACCAACACTTGGACTAGTGTCATCTTTAAGAGAAATGCAGTTATCCATAGGAGAATCGGGGTTGAATTAACGAAAAACAGTGTATGTATCCTTGACTTCACTGTGTTTGTGGGAGCTAAATCTTGCCACCTGAT